AATCTTTGCTTCTATTCTTCATCAATAACGCTCCAGCCTTCAATTCAGCTTTTGCCTGACTTTGCACCTCCATCCAGTCTCAGATTCACCAGGTTTCTTGCCCATTCTTGTCCTACCCCTTCCCATCTACCCCATTGTATCTTTTTTCCTGCATTTGCATCTGGCAGCTTCTTTTGCTCGCTTTCTTTCTGGCTACTGCCCTGCGCTTGGGTGGCCATGAAAATGCAGCAAAGTGTTCCAGTTCCTGCTGCTAATGCCAAACTCCACCTGCTTAAAGAAGCAATTACTGGAAAGATTCCTAGCCAGGCATTTAGTAGGCACGGTACATGTGAATCCTGCTCAAATATAAGAGCTAAGTAAGGGCTGAGAATGGGCCCTCTCCTGCAAAGATGATCCCTGATCACATCTGGGTAATGTGGGAGGATGGATAACAGAACCAGAGCAGTTACAGCTGCAGGGACACCAAGAGACCATCCAGGCCCATCCTTGCCCTAAAGCTGAATTATCTCCTGAAGGAAGATTGCAAACCCATGATCCTTCATGACAATCTACTGCAATGCTCCTAGTTCTTCCTCACTATCTAATGTAAATGTTCCTTGTAATTTTAGTCCTTTTCTCTCCCCTATCATTTATTGTAAACATTGAATAATTTATTCTTTCCCCCCCCAGTAAAACTCTCTATATTAAAGCTGTATCTTTTCTTCGCAAATCTTTCCTCAGCTTTGTCTTCTTAACCTAAAATGAGCCCTGGTATCTTCAGAGAAGCCGTACGGGGTCCAAGCAAACGCCTGGCTCCGGCTCCTGCTCGTGCACRGCAGGAACGGGCACACAGGCGGGAAGGCAAAGGCAGAGCAAATGATTAGTGCTACGGCCTCGTTACRCAAGGCGAGCTGTGAACCACGCGCCAGGCAGCGCTTCCTGGGCCAGCGAGGGCATTTCTGCGCTTGAAATGTCCTGCAAGCTTCCCTCTCCTAACACGYTTCCTTGTCCTTAAACCTTGCCAGATTTTCTCTTGTTCGACCACAGTGCAAGACGATGAAATCTACAGGATTTGGGCACTAAACTCCCCAAAGCCCCTTGAGCGTGTTCAAACGTTTCCTTGCACTGGGGTCTGGTCAGGGGGACAGCGGGAGGAGAAACCGGTGCCAGGCACCGTCCCCCCGCACTGTGCCAAGGGCCTGTTGCACAACCTGGAAACGCTGTYGCTCACCACAGGAAAGAGGTCAGCAGGCCTGTTTTTATTAGACGCAAAACATGTTTTCCCTCAGCTTTATTCTTGGAAAGGGCTCAAATGTTACGAGAGGAAGGAAAGGCTGAGAGACAGATGAGGGGGAGGGAAGAGACAGCGGAAAAGATGAAATACGGGAGAAAAAAAGTGTATTGTASTAGGCCATTTTTGTGGGAAAACGGAGGCAAACAGACGCAAATTAAACAGCGGAGTTATACGAAGGAAACTGGGTCTTACAGCGCGAGCGGCGGCAGCTGCGCTGCCCGCCCGGCTGCGGCAGGAAAATGGCCCCCAGCCCTGAGGCGAGCCCGGCCGCTCCCCTGCTGCCCGCCCGCCCGAGGCTGCGCGCCGGGACGCGCTGTCCGCGATCCATCGAATCGAGGCGGGCGGGCGCCGCGATTGGCGGAGGGCGCGCGGCACCGCCCCTCCCCTCACATGACCGAGGGCGACGCTTTTGCCGCGCCCGCCCGCCTCCGCTGGCCGCCTCCCGGAGCCCCTCCGCGCGGAGCATGGAGCCGCGCCGCTCGCCGCCGCGCTCCGCCTGCCGCCTCCTCCTGCTGCTCGGCGCCGCCGGTGAGGGCGCGCGCCGCGGCCTGCGGGCGCTGGCAGGGCCGCCGCGTCGCGGGCGGGGGCGGTTGTTGTCCCCGCGGGAGCGGCGCGTGCCCCTTCCCCCTCCTCCCCCCCCCCTCCCGCGCCGGGCACGTGACACGGCCGCGAGCAACGGCCGCGCGCGCGGGGGCGCCCGGGGGGGGGGGAGGGGGGGGTCATGGCGGGCTCCTCCCGCGGGCCTGGCAGCCGTTTCGGGCCGTTACCGACCCGGCCTCCTCCCAGCCGCTTCTCCCGGCGGCGCCGCGCGCGTCGGCAGGTGCCATGTCAGGCACCAGGGGATGTCGGAATAACTTTTTTTTTTGTCCTTAAAAATATTAAAGCGAGCGCCCATGGGGGTCGTGGCAGGAGCTCGTCTGCCGCGGAAGGGGCGAGTTGAGCGCAGCGCTGCGTGCGAGGGAGGCTCGGGGAGCAGAGGGGCCTTCCCCCAGCGAGCCCTCCCGGGGAGGCCAGGCCGTCGCTCCCTCGCATGGCGGCCCTGTGTCGTTTGTCAGTACTCTGTGTGCTCGGTGGCAAAGCCCTGTATTTCATTGCCATTAAGGCCTTTGCCATTGCGTTACACCACAGCCCTCCTGCATGGTTGCTCCTAGAGGCCTTTGGTCTAAGGTGAGAAGGCAGATGTTTCATTTTAACACACACACACMCACCACTTGGGTGCATTTGTTTCCAAAGACACTGTGCCTATAAACAGAGATATTAGGTGGGTTCTGGAAAAAAAATAAAAAAGGGCTGATTACTCCTGGTAAGTGCTGTCCCCGCTCTCCTTACCGTSCTTTACTGTCCACGGCGCTGTCATGTGAGCAAGGCATGCAAGGTTTCATGAAGAGAATGTTCTCTTCTGCAAATTATACATTAAAAATTTAGCAGGGAACTGAATATAGGCCTTTGTTATACTAGCCCTTCCTGCCAACCGTGTTAGACCTTTGTCACTTCTGTGTGTGTTTGGCTTTGAGGACATTAACCATTTACTTTAAGGTAGCTCAGTTCTGTTCAGGGAAGAGGCATTTTCTTTTGGTATCTGAAATAAAGTCTTACTGGCCAAAAAAATGCTTAGTTATTCCCTGTTAAGTAGGTTAGGGTGTGTAAGCTCTGCATGTATATGTTGAGATCATCTGTGTTGGTCAAGTCTATTGTATATGCTTGCTTACTGTAGCATTTCTTCAGTCTTTACTGCTGCGTCTACCATCACTTAGCTGAAATATCCCTTTTAGAGAAGCTATTTACAAGCTACTTTCTCCATAAGGAAAACAGTCTAAGTACCAATTAAGCTGGTACTTCTGAGTAGTGACCTCTTCATTCTTAGGATGTTTTCAGTTACTCATAGTAAATAAGTTTTCTTCCTTTGGCTCTCACTTAGCAACTTACAGCAAAAATAGACTTTTATAGCTAAGTTATGTCTTTTTTTAGTCTATTTTTAATGAAGGTGGAAGAGATTTTCCTAGTATGTAAAGCCACATTAGGAAGCCAAGAACTTGCAGTACTTCAAAGCAAGTTAGTGAAATGTTAGCATGGATCTCCTGCTAGTTTTATACTGCTTTTTAAATTGTGGTAAAATAATTACTTCTGAGTATATTGTACTTTATGGCYTAGTCAGTAGCCTTTTAGCATGTCATGTGGCATGATGTGTATATATTGAAGTCCCATGGCCATCCTGGCCAGGTTGTAGTGGTTTCCAGAAACTTAAGGACTGGCCCAGTTACCTCTGAAATGAGAATGGATGTTAGTACAGAGCTGGTACACAGGTACAGTAATAAATAACTATTTTTTATGTAATGTTGCTGGAGCTATGAGCCCCTTGGCAGTAAGGTTGTGTGCTTTGCAGTAGTAAATTGCAAAGCCGGTATCTTCATGTGCAGCACAACACAACAAAATTAACCTAAAAAGGCACACCAAACCCTTACGAATGTGCAAGCTGTTTGTATATTTACGGCCTTACTTTGGAGGCAGATGTGCTGCTGCCTCCAGCTGTGCGAGCTGCGGGAATTCCTGCAGCAACTGCTGCCTTCATGGACAGAGCAGCCTCTGTGGAGGTCTAGGCAAGAGTTTCACTGGGTTTCTGGCCTGGGTTTCTGGCTTGGGTTTCTCAACGGGCACTGATGAGACATGAACTAGTGCTGTGCTTGCTTAGGTAGAATATCACTAGCACCACTGGAACTTGAACTCTTTGATGCTTATTGCTTTAAGCTCAAGATTTAATAAATAAAATAAAAGGAACTTACTGTATTGTGCTTGGTTCTAAGTATTTGTTCAATGTAATAGTTTCCTTACAGTGGTAGCACCGATAAGTCACTAGTGCGGTATCAAGCACTCTTTTCCATACTTCAGAGTTAACACTGTCAGGTTTCTCGAGCTCTATCTTGGTTACTTCTTAGAAAGGATATAGCAATTAGAGCTTCTCAATTTCGGCAGTYCTTTAAATTCTCAAATGCACGAGCAATGGCAAGTTGTAGCTGGGGATTGTTGCAGCCAACTGTCTTGTGTGCAGGACTGTCTTTACTGCTGATAGAGAAGAAAACCTGCATGTGGCAGAGAGAAAATGCTTAATTTCAAGGCAAAACATGAAGCGAAATGTAAAGTACTTTGCCTTGCATGTGTTGGAGGAACTGGGATGATCTGTGTGAGAGAACTGTGTAATCGTATGAACCGTATGTTTAAAGAAGACAGCCTGGTAAATCTCAACCTTATGTTGATCAGAATTTATCTGTTCTAGGGAAACGTGGCAGACTGAAAATGCTGGGCAGCAAGAAAAGGAAGCTCACTATGTGCAAATGCTCCCCTAGAGTCAGAATGGGTTAAAAATTCAGCACTTACAACAAGTTCTCCTAAGACTTAAAGTGAATTTAGTATTCATTTCCTTCAGGCCAGAAACCGAGCAAGCACTGCGAAGCCTGGCAGATCTTGATCCTTTAGAGGGCATCTTGAGTCATGCTGCTTGATGAAACAGATAAGATAATGTGCAAAATACCCTTTTCAGAAGATTTGTCAAGTCTTAGTAACACTTCACCATGTGCTTCCCAGTTTAGATAACTTTTAGAAATCGAGCATGGGAATGGAATCCTGTTCTGAAGTAACTTACTGCATCTACTACTTTGTATTGAGCTGTCTTCAGAAACAGTTCAATAAAATCAATGCTGTAACAGCTAATAAGTATATCTTACAGGTTTCTTCCAGTCCTATGCTGTGGAAGTAGATGTGAAAGACGCCTCTAATGCTACATGCTTATATGCACAATGGATGATGAGTTTCTCAATAAAATATGAAACAAACAGTAGCGATTATGTAAGTATTTGGAACTAGCCTCTGTTTGGAACTGGTTGAGTCTTGTATAAAACTCTAAAGTATGCTCTGCTACTCAGTTCGTTGATTTGTGTCAAGTCATTGTTAAGAGTGTCCTTAAATATGCATTTTAAAGTGTAAGAAAGTTTCAGCTCACTTGTCAAATTTAGTAAGTTTTGGTTATTAGTGTAGTCATGTTCTTAAACAGCAAGTGGATTACAGCTTGGCRCCGTTAAGGTTTATGACCAAGTTAGCTTTTTAGTTTGTACTGAAATAGCTACTTTCCAAGTCAGATGTCAAGTAGCCTTTTTCATAATTTTGTAGAATAATCTAAAATATGGAGCTACCTTGTGCAGGGTTCCCTCTAACTATAGCAGGTTTATAATAATGTAATGGGAAGAACATCTGTCTTAATATCTAAAACTTGCCTTTTTTTTTTTCCTAGAAAAACACCACCTTGAGTTTGGGATCCAATGTGACACACAATGGAAGTGCCTGTGGTAGCGACACCCAAGCTGCGCTCCTGGCAATACAGTTTGGAGAAGGTCACTCCTGGAGCGTTAACTTTACAAAAAGTAACGAAACGTACCAGTCCGACTTCATCACGTTTACCTACAATACCAACGATTCTGCTGTGTTTCCTGATGCTAAAAGAAAAGGTAATATCCAGTGTGGTATCCCACCTCAAAACAGTCTCTGCTGACTGGATGAGAATACGAACTTCTTGCATTCGTTGCCTTTAAGTACAATGAAAGGAAGTCATTGAGGTGCCGTTAGACAACGGGTATCTTGAAGACTCATTTTTGTGCATGCTACCTTACCTTCCTCTGTTTTTAACTAAAATAAAGCTTTAGGCTTTCTGTATGCTAATAGACTTCCTACTACTAACCTTTTTTTCTCTTAAAAGCTATGTAAAATGTTTCTCCTTTCTAGTGACTTGTCCAATTCTTGAGGTTTTGACTTCTCTACATTACTTAGCACTTTGGGACAAGATATTTAGCTAAAACATGTAAGAGGAGTAGGGGTTGTTAACTCCTTAGACTTAATTCTTTGTTTTATGGAAATAGAGGGGGGAAAAAAAAAAAAAGAACACTACCTTATAAATATTCTTGCAGATCATGAGGCGTTTTAATGCCAAATAAATGTTTGTGCTTATTCGTAGGACCAATTACCATTGTTGTAAAGGATACTATGCGTCCAGTTCAACTGAATAATCTCTTTGTGTGTCATAATACTGACTCTGTTGAAGCAGAAAATGTAACACAGATCTTCTGGAACGTCACTCTGCAGGCTTTTGTTCAGAATGGCACAATTGGAAAAAAAGGTGARTATTTCAAACCAAATGAGCAGTTTTATATTGCACCTTAGTGCCTTGCAAAGTCCCGTAATAGAAAATCTACCAACACTTAAGATTTGCTAACTATTCTGCATAAATATTCTGCATTGTACCTTCAAGTAGTAGAACCAAAACCTTCTGCCTTCATCAGTTCAAGCTTCTGGTAATCAAAAGAGACTAACACATCATCTGGGATATAGTTTTAATAGGATTGTTTACTTAGGATACAGCAAATGTTCATTACACTTGTTAGGACCACTTTGAGCTATTTTTGTCCATATAATTCACATCAGTATGTCAGAAATAACTAGTATCATACATGCTACATAAAAGCCACAGCAGTACAGAATTTCTGTATTAAACAGAACTTCTCAATCATAAGACTTTTTAATAAAATCTCATGTGAAATGCTTGTTAAAATTTCTTATGTTCAGAGTCTAGATGTGATGCTGATAAACCTACTGCTGCACCTACTGTTKTGCCCACTGCTGCGAACAAAACTACTCCATCGACCACCACTTTGTCACCTACTCCAACTGCTACTCCCAAACCTATGGAGAATCCAATYACAGGAAACTATTCTCTTAAAAATGGAAATATAACCTGTCTTCTGGCTAGTGTGGGGCTGCAGCTGAATGTATCACAAGACAAGGTACCTCTCTCAGCTTTCAGAAGAGTAGAAAGGTTGCTGCGCTTCTTTTCCTATAAAAAGTGGATGCAAGATACTTGCCTCCTGCATTGCCAAAAGTTCTTCTTTGTACATGTTGCTGCTCCAATGTCAAGGCAGTTATGTTGCATAGTACCTTCCTTTAAAACCTTACCTAGATTCAGTTTTACTAGTTACTGGAAATGTGATGAGAAACTTAGAAGTTTCTTAGCTTTTAAGGCTGCCTGAGCCCTGTAGGTAGCATCTTTTTCCCACAGAGGGAGCCAAAGCAAAGCTTTTTTTATTAGGTGCATAAAATAAAACCCCAGATAGGTGATATTATTATTAGACAATTGGTTTGCCTGAGTATTACCAACTTTTAAACAAGTCAAGTAGCTATGGTTAGATGGTAGCCAGACTCTATCCTCCTACTGCCATCTTCTCAGACAGCTTTTCTAGCCCAAGATTGCTGCTTACTGGAGATCTTCAAAACCCACTTGTGCACGTGTGCAGGGAGGTGGGACTAGATGATCTCTAAAGATACCTTCCAACCTTAATAATTATGTAATTCTATGATTAAATTCCTAATTACAACTAAACTGCTTAATTATGGTATTTCTGTATTACAGCCTCTTCTCATCAATATCAATCCAAAGACAACTAGTGCTAATGGTTCCTGTGGTAATACATCAGCTAGCCTGAGACTGAATGATGGAAATAACAGTTTCATTGAGTTCATATTTGTTCTCGTAAGTAACTTATTTTCATTTTAATGGCGTTACAATGAGTATTGGTGGTAAAGCCCTTCTGTAGCTTTCTGGTAATCAGTTTTTCACATGTAGAAAAACTGGGTGAGTGAGTGCCCTTGGGATAAAGTTCTGAGAAACTTAAGACTATGGTAAATATGCTTGCCTCTGGAAGGAATGTTTTTTCTCAAAGGTAAATTGCAAAATGCAGATTGCACACTGACCATGGCTCTTACTCCTTAAACAGAGGAACGCAAGCGCAAGTGTACGAAAATTTTATCTGAAAGAGGTGAATGTAACGCTGCTCAACCATGTGAATGGTTCTGGTAAGAAATGATACCTGCCTTAAACCAAGTATGGTTGCCTTTTCTATATTAGGGAATACCTCTGACTGTTCTAATGCTGGCTGTGCCCCTGTGACTTTTGATTTTAAGGCTTTAGGCCAGTATAAACAAAGGTAACAGGATGGCTACACTTTAAACAGCAGTGTAATATTCTAATATTCTGTTTCTGAAGCTTCCTGTCAACAAGGTACCTAGTGTTCGCATAATGATTAAGATGCAAAAGTTAAGAGGACTTTTTTATTAATATTATTACAGTTTTCAGTTTCAAAATTTTGTGTATGTGTAGTATGTAGTTGTGCCAAATCTGAACTGCTTGTTTTCTTAAACCAGCTGTTGTTTCTTTTCCCTGAAGATTTTGATTGTCCCTGTTTAATCCTGACTGGGAAAAGAATGTTCCTTCTAACAGCTGAAGCATTTTTTTTTATTTTCATTTTTTCAAATCAAAAGTGTACTTTTTTGTTTATTTTTTGAGCTGTATTCGTCATAGCTGTTGCAATTAAAAGGGCACTAAAATGCTTCCCCTCTGCGATGCTGGAATGAGTGTAGGTACAAGGAAGGCTTATGTCATATCCCTCTGGAGGCTAGCTTAGTAATAAGCTTTATAAAAAAAGAAAAAACTTCAGTGACTACTTTCTTACAGTTAAGCAGATCCAGTCGCTCTTTGTGAATAATCCAATCATTCAAAGGCTACTTTGTATTTCAGAGTAGGTAATGTTGAAAAGTGACATCTAGGTTCAGCTTTTTAGCCTTATGAATGTATTAGCATGTCTCTTGCATTTGAAGTGGGCCTGCAAATTTTAATTTTTTTTTCCTCCCCCTTTGTTTAGTCATTGCAAGTGCAGACAACAACAATATCAGCAAGTGGGATGCCTCCCTTGGTACTTCCTATATGTGTCAAAAAGAGCAAACTCTTGAGATCAACGAAAAACTTAAAGTAAATACCTTTAATCTAAGGATTCAGCCGTTCCTCGTGAAGGAAAACAAGTTCTCTATAGGTAAGAGTAAGCTATTAAGCTGTAGTATGTTCTACTAAAGAATTCTTGCCTGCTAAAAAGCATCTAACAGAACTGGACATATATGCACTATTTTATTTTTGAAGCATATGGTGTTTGTTTTATACATGTAACATAACAAACTTCTGAGACTGACACTCACGTTAAACTGTCCCATTTTAAAAATGTCTGCCAGGTATGTAAGTTCTTCATAAAACGTGAAGGAGTGACATAAGAGGGGCTTGAGCGTTGCTTGGCTAAATGGCTCAAATTCTGACATCTTTCTGATGTCTTTGTAGCTTGAATATGTAAGAAAATGAGACAGAACTTCAGCAGAAATGCACTTTGGTAACACCATTGGGCATTTCTTTTCTTTTGACCTATCAGCCTAAAGGAATAAGAATGCTGGGGGCGGGAAAAAAAAGCCAACAGTTACTTCCAGAAAGGGACTCAAATGTCCATGAGGAGCAGGTCCTGAAGTGCTTATTTGCTGTACCATCTTGGTCTTGATTGAGGGGAAAAATGGAATGGTTTAAATTGCTTCATTGTTGGCCATTAGTGTAACACGGTCTTCATGTTTCACAGTAATGCTGTCAATATAGTCTTGGGTTAATCTAATTTGTAGATGATAGCCTGGGTACAGATTTTTGAACCTCTCTAGAGAAATGGACTCTCCTTACATAAGCACAATAAACAGTATTTATTATAGTAGTTCCTAAGTACTTTTTTTTTACTGTGTAGTTGAAGTTGCAGCTAGCTTTCTCATCCTCCTTCCAGTTACAATRATTTCATTTGTCTATATCTCTATTGCAGTTAGCTGCTTGATATCAAATCCATATCACTTTATTCTTAATCAGAAAGGCACTAGACTTCCCTTAAACATTAAATATGGATCCATCCTAAAAGCAGAAAAGTGTCTTCTCCCCTTTCTTCTACAGATCTAGCGCACATGAAAGCTCTTATACCAGAATAGCACCTTTAGTTTACTGGGGCTTATTAAATATTCAGATGTCTTAATATATGCCAGAACTACGCATGAAACCTCTACAGTTCCTTTGCTCTCACTATACAGATAATGCTTTACTTTAAGCATCTTCATATTAAGGAAAATATTTTTTTCAAGCACTTTGTCTTTATTTATTCCCTGTTGCAACCTTTTTCTCATCTACAGCCCAGGAGTGTTCGCTGGATGATGACAGCATTCTAATCCCAGTTGTAGTTGGTGCTGCACTTGCTGCCTTGATTGTCATTATAGTGGTTGCTTACATAATTGGCAGAAGAAAAAGTTATGCTGGATATCAGACTTTGTAAATCTGAATGTGATCACTGTTCTGATTTCACTCTAAATGAAGCAAGTGCAAGTTTTGAAGCTGAAAACAACCACCAAAAAAAAAAAAAATTCTTACAGTAAATACTAGCTACAGCTAATTGGAGTTGGGAAACAAAGGATGTTTTTGTCCAATGAAGCAGAATTGTGTTTTTAGTTTTTCCTTCCTCAAGACATGAGCTTCATAGCTGTTTAGAAGATGTCAGATATATTACTATTSGATAAATAATTAAGCAAAGGATTTTATTTTGCAAAAGAGCACTCAAATGTTTAGAATCATTTCTATTTTTTACAAATTTGAAGCAAAAACATTCTAAACTGATGCGCTTTGAGCAATTCCTAACATTGCATAGAATTTGTACTTGCTTCTCTCCTTTGCATTCCTTAGTTGTTGTCATAATTGTGGGTTAAGTTGACAGCATTAGTCTCTGTGACTCATGTAGTATATAACAAGGTTTGTAYGATGCCCAGTAACAACTCTGGTTTTTGTGGAACTAAACTCCAGGCTGGTGATTAAGCGATCTTATGAAACAGCAGCAGTAACCTACTTAGATTTGGTGAAGCTCGAGTAGTTTACTCCTGCCTAGATGGTTTTAGGAACCATTCCAGGCTGTACAAGCAAAATGGGTAATCTACACTTGCCAGATAATGGATAAATTGGAAGACTTCAGTGCAGTTCCCAAATGTTTTCAAAAATACTGTTAGGTGCTGAATTCTTCCTCATTTACAGCTTGGCACTCCCCTAAAATACAAAATTGCAGCAAAGTTCTGCTGGATTAAAGCAGACTTTTTGCTGACATCATTTTAAAGGGAATGATCTTTTTAAATATTCCAGAACTTTAAAGTGCACTTAACTTTATATCATACTTTGCACAAAAATGGTCTGTCTTGTTGTTTTGAATGACCATTATTTAAAGATGCTTTCATTTAACGAGCCAGTATAAGTTTATGCAACTTGAGCTGTCTTTAAATCTCCATTTGAAAGGTTCTCTGCTAATCAAAATTCTCATTATAACTGTCCATCATTGGCTTTCTGAATGTTCACTGTACTCCGTGTTTGATTTGTTTGCTGTGTGGCATTATTAATGCTGCTGTTAAGAATGCAAAAACCAAGCAGGTCTGAGGCAGACCCTTTACACCTGTCTTTCCTTGCTGTGTGGAAAGGATAATTGCTTAAAAAATTGCAGTGCAACTGGACTGTTCTTAAACTGCAGCTCTGTAGAGACTAACCCTTGCTGCATAACTGTTCTCTGGCCTCCTTTTGCTGAAATATATGGTTCTTATTGCATGGGGGAGGGAAGGTCATTTCTAAAAGATACGTTTGAGTCTTTTGCATATGTCATAACATGAGCTGCATAAGTTAGTCATTTAATGAAGATAACTTCATTATCCCATTTAGAATAAGTTTAGCTGGCATCAATACTGGTTTAATGTTTTTATTAGTGTTTTCTAGGGTTGTAGAGATGTCCGTGGCATGTTTGTAATACAAATCATAAGATAAAATTTGTTCTTTCAGTAATAAGGACTTTTTTTTTTTTTTGGTAAAAGCAGTTTATTCTTGACATTGGCTAAGCAARCAAAATGGGTGGATAATACTTTCTATAGCATCTAGCATAACTTGAATTTTGCATTGGTTGGTGAGATTCATTTTAATGAAAGTGGGGAACTACTTTAAGCTTAATTCTGGAATAGGCTTCAACACTTCCAATTTTAATTGAGGAAAAAAATGGTTCTAAAGACTTGCATATTAATATCTTTAAATGCAGAACTTCATACAGATTATTTTAGCATTTTAGTGACTGATGTTTAAAGGCACCAGTTACCTGTGCATTTGTGTAGAGAAAAGGAGTAATTACCACGGCTGTATTCTTCAACATAATAATTTTTGAACTGTGCACATTTCCAAGTAACAAAACCGGTGCAAACTCTCCTGAAGCTCAACACAACTAAATGTATCTATGTAAAAACTTGAATTTAATCTTCATTGATACTTTTCCAGAGGTGAAAGTACTCCTAGACTGACGTGCAGGTAACTGGTTCAGAAAAACATCTAAGTTTGCCATGACTGCCTATTGTTATAAAAAACACTAGTTTTCCTGTATGTATTGTTCCATAGGGAATTGTCAACCTGCTCAACGTGTGCTCTAAACAATAAAGATTGTTCTGTTTCTTAAGGAAGCTTGTTCACATTTTTTAACYGTTTTGAAAACAGATATCTTGTATTGTCTTTTAGCAAATAAACTAAATGAGTAAGGTCAGTTTGAATCATCTCTATCAGAGATTCTGTTACCAGACGGCTGAGGGTGCTCCTTGAAGAGTCCTCTGTTGCCTGGGTCTCACTGCTTTGTTTTGCAGCATGTTCTGAAATGTACCTGGCTAGAACCCAGTAGCAGAAGACACCCTGAGAACTAATTGAGATACTACACCTGTGATTCACCATTAGAAAGTTGCTTAACTTTTAGTTAGATGTAGCTTATGTAGCACACGAGATGTTTTTAAGACTGGTTTTGCTAGCCAGCCTAACCTGGATTACAGCTGTGAGTAGTTCAGTTTATCAGTCCCTTTTTAACAAGAGTGGGAAAGTTTTAAGGAGCCTGTTGAGAACTGAGCTTCATCCTCAAGGTAGAAGCTGTGTAGATCCTTTCCTACCTCTGGTTGGTCTCTCACGTGTCCTGTGTGGTCTGTAGGTCTCATGACAACAGGAGCAGGTGCACTCTAATACAGCAATGATTAATCTCCATTAATATGCTAATCCCTATTCTTCAACCAAATCTGTCATAGAGTGATGAGTCTGTTAGTTGTGATGCTTGGAAAGGTGGAATATTGCTCTTGTATTATGGGGAGGGGGAGGAGGACAAGGTTTTACGGATGAGTGTCTAATATCCTGTTGGGGAAAGGCATAACTGTTTTAAGCAAATAGAGGTAGACTGTAGTATTAAATACTTCTCTTTAAATGGATTTCTTTTTCAAACTTACCCTTTTTTCATTTAGCTGAAGACTGCAGCCCAGAGGTGGACAACTTCATTGTACCTATAGCAGTAGGAGCAGCTTTGGGAGGATTAGTTGTCCTAGTGCTATTGGCTTACTTTTTTGGTCACAAGAAACACCGCAATGCTGGATATGAGCAATTTTAAATGGGAAAAGTTTACTTTTATTAACAAAAGTGAACTCAAAACACAGATCAGCAACTTGCATGCTGCGTCAGGCAAACTCTTTCTTAAAACTAGCTTGTGGTTAAGAAGTGATGCAGCCTTTAATGTCATGGTTTATATTTGAAGCTAACAACTTGCATTGAACATGTTCTGATTCATAATCACTGATAATTTTTCAACTCTTCAAAATACTACAGTTTGAATCTCAGAATCTTGAGGATACAGAGTGGCATTATGTGCATAAATGGAGTTTTGTTCTAATCTGTGGGAATAGCACTTAACCAATATTGTATATGTTTGTGGGTATTGAAGRTTAATGTATATAATCAGTCATAAATTGCAGTTTGTTTTGATTGACTGTGCCTTATATACAGTTTGTTAAATATTAAAGCTATGCTATAAGATATCCGGACTGATGGTCTTTTTAGCTTAAAGATGCTGTGCTGGTAGTCTTGAGATTTTTTTTTTTTAATTAATGAATGCTTCTAATTTTTTATTTACCAGAATGTTCTCTCTTGTAGAGCAGATACCAATAAAAACATAATATTTTGGCTACTGGTTGCATCTTATGGTTGGTGTTAAAAGGGAAGATGACTTTTATAGTGGGGCTAAAAATTTTGCTGCCAAAATTTCCAAGTTATTTGGAACTCAGATTGTTCGGTTAAATATGTGTAAAAAGCTCATACACCTGCTGGCCCAAAAAGGAATTTGGTTTGTCGTGGCATGTATTTATCAGCTCCCCATCCAGAGATACCACTGAAGCTTCTAACTGCTGCTCAGTAGTGATTCATGTTTAGGGGTGTGCCAAAAACGGTGACAAGCTTGAGAGAGGTCAAGGATGGCCCATTTGTGGTATTGAACCTCACCCTTTTTCATATGGAATTCCTTGTGACGCTGCCATACTAAAATACCTACTGTAGCAAACTCCTTCCTTTAAAGGACACAAAAAGGGAATTTCTGTTGCTGCTTGCCTTTTTATCATTAGCAAAATAATTATGTTAAATGGCCTATTATCCACTGTGTATTAATGATTTGGTAGTATATGTTGATCTTTAGTGTTCAAAGCTGCCTAAAAGTGAAATATAGCTCAATCAAAGCTGCATTTTTTTGAGAAGCATCGAATACTTGTATATTTTAGCAAGAATATCTTGAAATAGCTTATTGCATAAGGGACATGTTTCCTTACCTCTTCCTCCCAAGTGCTGCTCAACTTGACAGGAGGTGTCTTCAGACTGTCTGAATTTACTACTTTCAGGTGTTGAACTTCAACATGTTCGTGTTTTTCTTCCCCTTAGCTAAGGGCCTCACCACTACCTTTTTGTTAAAGTCTGTATGTGTTTGCCATATTTTATCCAAGCTAAATTGGGTAGGAAATGCCTCCTAACTGAGGTAAATTCAGCTAGAGACTCGGATGGTTTCAGTATGCACATAAGGCAATAGCTGGTGATTTTAACATAACATTGAATGTGTCCATGATAGCTTTTCTGTTCTAATAAGAAATCAAAGGGGGGGGGGGAAGTCTTAAGAAGCTGTGCTTTTTTTAAAAAGGAAAAAAAAAAAACTATATAAAAGGCCACACACCCTTATTAGAATTGAAGCTTGTCTTCAGAAGYGTTTTTATATCAGCATCACCTGGATGGAGCACCCCTCTCTACAAATTGGGAAGAATATTTAGGCTTTGCTCCACGTGTGCCTAAGGGGTATCGCTGATTGTGAAACTTGCTCCTAGTGCTGTTTGTCCGGAAAGGCCTGGACTGATTCAGGTGTGAGCGTTTGTATCAGAAAGGCTTTAATGGTGTATTTTCCAAACTGTATGTTGAAAACCACTGTAGCATTAGAGCTGTGTCTCCTCTCTTTATCTGCTCTGTTGATTTCAATAAGATGTGCATAATTCTCACCTGACATTGGTAATCCTTTTCTTGTATTTGGATTAAAATAAATAAAGCTACCCACCAAAAAAAAAAAGTCTTTTAGTGTTTTCAGTTCAGTGCTTTCAGCATGTATGTTTTGGCTCTCTTGTGTGGCTTTCAGTAAGTTTGTATTTTCAGCTGATAYGACTTGCTATCTGTCATCACACTTCTAAAACTTAAGGAAGTATTGGTGACGTGCGTGCTTGGGAAATCCCTCGGATAAAGCAGGAATACACCAGTCTGCTTTATGTTCCTTTTTGGCCAGTTTAACGTTCCTGTGAGCTGTGCTCAGCTGATGTGCTCCCAGGCTGCAGTTTTGCTTCCTGTGTCTAATGTGCAGTCCACCTATGGGTGTGTTAGAGGAAGCTGAAGGCTCAAGTAAAGATGAAGATGTGTTTGACTAGTGGAAGTCGCAAGCGTAGCGCGTGTTTGAAGAAGCTGATCTCTGTATTGATATATTGATCTTGCTCCAGGTGTGCTCTCATTGTATGTGATAGTGATATGTTTTAAAAACTGTAAACATCTGTTCCTTGCATTACTTGGTTTCTAATGCTTATTTTCCGTTACTAATTTGTTCTCCCTTGCTTTTTGTGTTTTTCTTCTTTCTGCAGCTGAAGAATGCTTTGCTGATTCTGACCTCAACTTTCTTATTCCCATCGCAGTGGGCATGGCACTTGGCTTCCTTATCATTCTTGTCTTTATATCTTATATCATTGGAAGAAGGAAAAGTCGCACTGGCTATCAGTCTGTATAGCCTCTTAATTCCACCTCTACTGCCACCCTTCCTGGTCTTTTCCCAGACTCCCTGCTTTCTCCCTTTAAAAAGAAGAAAAGTAGAAAACATCTGAGTTCATAATTTATTTAAAAAAAAAAAAAGGGAAATAAAAATCACAACAGAATTGTCATTCATGGCATAAGCCTGAAGGTGAATTACAGAATTACTTGACGCTGCTGTATGGTTTTGGAGCAAGTGTTTTGGGGGCAGTATGTTTAAGTACAGCTGGTGTGTGTCCCCTTGAGAATGAGATTGTTTTGACCAAGGAACAGATCTAAGAGACTTTGTTTCTGTTGTTCATCTTTTATATGAAAATATTTCTAGCTACATCCAGCTTAACTCAATGCTGAAGCTAAAACCATAATTAAAGGTATGAAGAGGAGGATCGTGCATATCATAGGAAAATGAATACCAAGCTCTTACAGACTTCTAATTGGAAATTGGTTTATGGCTGTTGTCTTTTTTTTTTTTTTTATCATTTAGCAGCTTGTTCCAGTGAGTCTGAATTTCCTGTTCCTCCTGAATGTAAAGGTAATACCTGACCTCACTAATCCATTAACGTGACATGGGAAGAACATTTGAGTCTTCTAGTAATGAATGTGTCTTAGTATGGAGAAGGTGACTGCTAATGTATGTGAAATTGCTTTGCGCTAGCACGATGTCTCTAATGTCTTTTTTCTGTAAGATAAGTCTTAGCAAACTYGCGCTTCTCAGAAGAGCCAATAGCCTGCGGAAAGAAATGTCATGTTATTGTGTTTGAGTGGTTTTCTTTTTGTTCTGAGTCTGATCATGAGGTGAGGAGAGGGTGGGATTTCACCAGGCAGTCTCAGTGGGTCTTGGATTCTGTGCGTATGAGAGAAACAACGGTAGGAGGGGTCTGTGGATCCAGAGAGGCTTAAAAATRTTTGGAGGCATCTCAAGGATCGACTTTAGAGCACAGCCTATTTAAAGGGATTCCCACAGTTCTATTGGAAAGCTTTCGGGGATTTGCAAAGGGTCACTGAAAAGCTGTGATCTTGGAATGTAAGYCAAGAGGTAAAAATAGGCTGTTTGTCTCTTTTGGGAGGATTAATCTTATGCTGCTACCATCCTAATCGTGACTCTCTCCAGTGAGAGTGTTGAGAATGTAAGAGCACAAGGCTTCTAGCATGAAAAATGGTGACCATAAAGCTGAAAAACAAAAAAAAGGAGACTCGACTTTCAAAGGAACGATAGCATCTGACTTCTGAAAGTTTTCATGATCATTAATACCCTACATCTTGAAGCAAGATAAAAACTTKGTGTCTGAATTCTGCCTCATCTCTGCACAGGTTCATGTTGGTGAGGTRGAGGCACCTCTTGTTCTTGCCAGCTCTTTGGCCCAGCTTGGCAAAAGGCTTTGACGAGGAGCGAGCCTTGTTTCCCATGTGTGTGATGTGAGGGAGTGTTTCCTGTACAGCCCCTGTTCAGTAGAGCTGCTTAATACCTGACCTCCCTGCGCCTTGAGCCTGTGTCYGCACAGGGCAGCGAGAGCCCTTCTGTGACCCACGTGCATAAAGGTGATGGTCAACAACAGTGTTTAAATAATTCACATTAGCATTAAATGCGGGGAGGGGAGATTTCTAAGAGTTAGCTTTGACAGTGGAGAAATACTCTTTCCTCAACATGATCAAACCTAAGGTTTGCTGGGATCTGATATCTTTATATTTTATTTATTAAAAACTATAAATGGGCTCTTACACCAAGCCCTCTTCTTTAGGGAGTGCAACTCAGTGCTGCTGGGCTTTGTGTGTTGGTTCTGGTTGTCTTGGCCTTTTGCATTGCTTTGCTCTCCCAGTATCTGATGGCTCTGCAAGAGAGCTGAATGGCAGGTTATCTGGAGACGAGCAATTTCTGAATTGCATCCACCTGTCAAAGTTGGATTCTACCCATGGTTTCATGCTCAGGTTCCAGATTGAAGTGTTTTGCATCACTTTTGCTAGGTTATTTTAGTAAAGTGTGCCAATTTCCTAGATGCGTATACATATATAAATATTTAAGTACTATTGGGGGCTTCAAGAGAAGTCAGAAATTGAACCAGCACTTTAGGCTTGTAGCATGAAGAATGGTATATACAGTTGTCTGAGTTTGCAAATGACTGCAAATCTGCTGAAAGCAGAATGTGTATGAACCAATAAAGTTAATGAAGCTGTTTATAAAGTTTTGTCTAGTGTAAGTAAAGGCGCATGCAGTTGCTCAGAGCTTCTCCACGGGGGCTGGCAGGGGACTTGGTGCGGAAACTGAAATTCTTGCTTCCAAGTGGCTCGTGCCCTTGTCTCACAGGTAGCTGATCTCTTTGCTCACTGGATCAAAGCAGAGGTCCATTTTCTGCTTACACATGGTACCAGCTGCTTCACGAATTCTTCTAAAAGGCAGCTGTGAGGTAGATGCAATTAAAGTTTTGTCCTGTGTTGAATGGCCGGCAAAGGGGACAAAAAATATCAAGGAAATCTGCTATTCTAGTGCTTTAAGAATGCAAGCATGGCATTARTTTTACTGTGGTCAGCTTTATTTTTAATATAAAAAAATGACTTTTTAGAGACTTTACTATATATAAGAAAATGCTGGCAAACTAAGTGTTTGAGCTGGGGTGTGGGACAAACACTGTAATGCTCTTGTTTAGTAAATGTGCTTTCCAATGGTTACAGTAGCCTAACATGTCCTACTGTGTTCTTGTGGCTAAAAGCAGAGTTGTAGAGTGTATTTCATCTGTGGCTGTCATACAAACATGTACAATCAAAAATAATCTCACTTTGTAAAGAATCAACGCTATTTCAAAAGTGTCCATAGCTCAAATATCTAGAAATTGAGAATTCTGCTGTTACAGGTGTTTGTATCGCCCCACGGCTCTGCTCTTCCAAGGAGCTTTCACACAAAGATAGCAAAGGATTTCACAGATAGTGACAAGAAATTAAGCCCGTATCCCCTCTCCATGAAGCAGGAAGAATGAAAGTGAGGGCTTCCGTGAGAGAATCAGGGAAGCCCCAGATGGAGAAAAACTTGAATACTGCCCCAGGTCAGAAGGGAAAGGAAAGACGGAAAAGCAAATGGGTTTTCATGTCATCAGCACCTTACATGTACTGGACAAGTTGCATGCAGTGCTGCAAACAAAGGTACCCCTAGTGCTAAAGATCCAGGAGTATTTTTTGAAATTTGCCATTTTGATTTAACTGTCACAGGCATAATCCAGAATTTTTGCAGTTTATTTTTTTAAAACAAAAATATTATAATAAAGCACCACCTCATTAGATTTTGCCTAAGAAATGTACATGAGACTATGTTAAAGATTAAAATACAAAGCTAGGAAAAATGTGTTCTGTAGAGGTCCTTTTTGAAATGACCTTATGAAAATGGTGTTCAGTTATCAGAGTTTTATAATTAAAATTTATAAATATAATTTATAATTAAATGCTATAACAGGTTCTCTGCCTAGGATATAAGTTTCAAAACTGGCTAGTAATGGTTTACCCTAGATCTTTAAAGCTATGTTTCCTTGCTCAATTACATCTCCTTTCTTTCCTAAATATGAAGAAAAATAAGTTAACAAAAAATTCCCTGTGTCTAGTTTTCCTAACAGAAGAAATGCTGGCTTTTAGGCTTTGCAAAGGGAAAAGACCCTGCCTGGTGTTAACTAAGTGCCGGCCTTTGCACTGGCTACTTCCCAATGCTGAGGGTGAAGATGATCCGGCCCAGGAAGCGGTCGTTATTCACATCGTTGACGATGCCCTCCCCGTTCAGGCTGCACTGAATAGGGACCACGCTCTCCCTCTTCACATCTGTGAAGTGCATGGCCACYAGCGGGGATGTGTAATTGACCTGGGAAAAAAGGGGAAATCTATTAAGTATAAATTTATAATAAAATGTAAGCAATAGGGCACTGTTTGCCTGCAGCAGCTGTTGCAATAGAAGTCTAAGGGCTGCAGTGCCTCCTGCTTGCCTTGTCCCACTGTGCAGACCCTCTCAGGCCAGACCAGGGTGGGTTGTCTAGAGCACACTAGACACCTGTCATGAACCCCCCAGCCTGAAGCGCTTTGGTTTTATCTTGGAGAGCAGCCCTGCGCTCTTCTCCTCTCCCCTACCCATCAGCTTCCCTAGCCCCTCGGGCCGTGCGGGCGCTGAGACCTTCTTAGGGAATGAGCAAAACCAGTCTCGGTCTCCCGTAGATAAATATAACCAAGCATTCTCGTGCCGGCAGGAGGCGGGCAGAGGCCCTGCGGAGTTCCTGGGGTTTGGCAGAGACAGGAATAGAGCCCTGGAGGCGGGGTGCCCCCCTGCCCGCTCGCTGCTTCCCACGGCCTTGCCGTGGGGCCGGGCACCCTGGGGAGCCGAGCGCGGAGCCGCCGCAGCGCGAGTGCCTTCTTACGTGCGTGAGCTTGCCGTAGTAGGGATAGTACATGAGATCGAACGTGCCGTTCCCAGGGTAGAAGTCTACTGATCTAAGGTCACTCTCATTGCCTTTCTGTGATTTAACAACAACAAAAATATATATAATATATATAAATTTATATGCGCACATACACATTCACACCCAGCATATGGCACRCAGTGTATCTCCCTTTGAGGTAACATGAAGGAGCTTTAATACTGGCATCCCCTGCAAGCTGCAACGTGGCTGWGCTGCCTCTGCCTCCTTACACAGGGGTCTGCAATGAGAACCAGCTGCTGCTGGAATGAGTCAAAAAATAACCATGCTGCGGCGGCGCGGGCCAAGCTCGCAGATCTGCCACCCATAAATCTGCCTCCGTGCCCAACAGCTTCTCTATTGCTGTTTAAGGGCACGATGCAGTGGCAGCCCCAGGCACCGGGAGCTTTTCCTTGACCCTGTTGCAGGCAGCCTGCTGGGTGCTCCTGGGGCAAGGAGACTCTTGCTGGCTGCGTGCAGGGGTGYGTGAGCAGCTCCTGCCCCAGCTCTGGGGGCTGCAGCTGCAAGGGCAGCAGAGSCAGGGAATCCACCCTGCCGCCATCCGCCGGGCAGCACTCGAGGGACAGGACCTCGTCATGCAGGGAGATGTGTGGCCTCCTTTGCTGTCTCAGCAGAGCTGGGGCCTTGGCAGGGTCTCCCTTGCTGGGGCCTTGGGCGTTGGCAGCGCCGGGGCTCGTAAGCACCTTGGGCTGAAGCAAGGCTGGATGCTGGGTGGAGGAGCTCATCAGGGGGAGGGATTTCACAGAATCCCAGAATATTCAAGGTTGGAAGGGACCTCTAGAGATCATCTAGTCCAACCTTCCTGCTCAAGCAGGCACACCTAGAGCATGTGGCACAGGGTGGCATCCAGGCGGATTTTGAAGACCTCCAGAGTAGGAGACTCCACAACCCCCCTGGGCAGCCTGTTCCACTGCTCTGTCACCCTAACAGTAAAGAAGTTGCTCCTCACCTGCAGACGGAACTTCCTGTGCTCCAGCTTATGGCCATTACCCCTCGTCCTATTGCTGGCCACCAGTGAAAACAGCCTGTCCCCTTCCTCCCTGCATTCTCCYTTCCTGAACTTATACACATTAATCAGATGCCCTCTCAGCCTTCTCTTCTCCAGAGAAAACAGGCCCAGCTCACTCAGCCTCTCCACATACGGGAGATGTTCCATTCCCTTAATCATCTTGGTTGCTTTGACCTTTTCTCTGCTCCCAGCCACAAAGGGAAGCAGTACCTGCACTTTGCAGTCCACGCTGACCGGGACCCCAGCGCCTGGTCGGTAGCCGATGATCTGCAAAAGAGAAGCGGTGGCTGCTCCCTGGGAAGGCGATGCCGGGCTCGGGGTGCCAAGCGCGTGCGCTGCCCCCTGCTCGCAGCCTGCGCCTGCTGYCCGCCAGCCCTGCTGCGGTTTTGTGCCGCGGTGGGACCCTGCTGCGAGCCCCTGCCCCAGGGCAGCACGGGCACCTCGCAGGACAGGGAGCACAGACTCCCCGGGAGGATCACGTCCCAAACCAGCCGCTGCCCGTGAATGCCCCTTACGCTCACTTTGCCAGCAGTGTGCACCGAGCTGCCGGGATGTGGCACTATTTCAAATAACTTCTGTTCTGTTAACGTAGCTGTTACAAAGAAACTGGAGTCAAGGACCTGTAGTTCCCCTTCCCTGGGTGTGAGAACTGCGGGAGCATCATGCACTGCCCTCGATCTGTTTAGATGTCTGGGTTTTGCCGTACCCGGTTCATCTTGAGCAGGATGCAGGGCTGGCCCTGCGAGTAGCCGAACGTGGGGTCCCCGATCCCGGAGCAGCTCTGCAGCAGGGAGCGCCTGAAGCGGCAGGCCTTCTTCTGCTCATCCTCGGGGCCCCTCTGGATGAAGTAGCGCCCCGCCACGCACTCGATGTTCTTCTCTTCTTGCACCTTGTCATCATAAGCTGATGGGAACCAAGAGTTAGTGGTGGTGGCTGACGCTTTGGGTGCATCCCCCCGGCTCTGCGCCTCTGGAGCGGCTCCGGCCGCCGCGTGCCGCTCACCTTGCAGGAAGCGGTGCATGCTGTCCACGTAGGGCTGCCACGTGCTGCGCTGCGACACGTTGAAGGCAATGTTGAACCCGTTCAGGTGGGGTCGAATCATGACTCCTGCAGAACGAGACACACCGAGCGCTGGCCGACCCACCATGGGCTCGCGGTTGCTCACAGGGAAGAGCAGCATGAGGGGACCCACAGGGTCCCCCTGCTCCGAGTGGGCAGAGGGGCAAAATGCAGGGAAAATGCTACCTTTGTGACTCCAAAAGGAGATCTTGAGTATTGTCTCACGACCGTTCCCCCAAATAGTAACAGATAAAGCTATTCTGCTTTATATTCTGAAGATACAAGCCACAAAGGGGCAGTCGAAATGAGAGACCATAACCTGGGAAAAGCCTAAACTTGTCCATTTACATTAAGGACACTTAAAAGGTAATAACCAGAATGAATCAGAGGGAAGCCTCACACTGGCCTAACATGCCTGATCTCCAGAGGACCTTCCCACTGACAGCCTGTAGTGCTGTGCACGGACCCATGACAGCCCCTGCGGGGTGTCTGCAGGAACGTACAGCCGCAGAAGTGTTTTCCCAGGGCCGGGCCTGCTGCCTGGCAGTGCCTGGCAGAACCTAGCGGGGTGCAGGGAGCAGTCCCGGGTACACCTTGCTGCTGGTTTCATTTTCCAAAGCAAATTTTACCCTTTAAAAGTTGCCCTAACTTAATACAGTGAACGAGGGGACGCGGGACCCACCTGGCGGGGCGACGCGGTCCCTGTAGGTGGGTGTGTAGGGGCTCAGGGTGAGCAGCATCACGTACATGCAGAAGGCAAACATCCCCGCCAGGCACGTGTAGAAAACCAAGTAGAACAGCAGGATCAAGCCTGGGAAATGCAGAGAGGACGTCACTGTCGTGGTCGTTCCTGCAGGGATTCGGGASCGCAGGACCCATCGCGGGAGCTGCGGGGATCCCAGCCCCTTGGTGCATGGACCTGGCACCCCTGCRTTTTCAGCAGGGATCCTGGTGGGGTTGGTCCAGGTCAGGTTTTGCCCAGGCCTGGGCATCTCCTTTTCCTTGGCTCTCTGATGTGGGCAGACAGGCCSGACCTTGGCCCCTGCCCAGCAGGAATGGTGGGAAACAGCAGGCGGGATCTGGATGTGCTGAGCACCGGTTAGGGAGAAAGGAGGTGCCGGGCAGCTGGGAGCGGGCCGGGTCCCACCAGTCCTCGGGGACGAAGCTGCGGACAGAGGCTCGTGGGGAGGCTGCGTCAGCAGCCGCTGGCCAGGGAACCGTGTTTATTTGTTTATTTTTSCTCTGCGGCCGCCTGACGGCCGAGGTGGCCCCCAGAGGACACGTCCCAGGACGACGGGCCGGTGGCTCGGCCAGCGGCGTGAAGCCCCACAGCAAACGTTGCCCAAGAGGGAGGCGGCAGCGGGAGCCCTGAGAACGCAGGGCGCAGTGCTGGGAAGCACACAGGGATACCCTATCCCTTCCTTCCCACCCCATGTCATCGCATCCTGTCCTGTCCGCACCCCACAGGGCGCTCTCCCTTTGTGTGGTCCCATCCTGCCTGCTCCACTCCGCTCCCCACAGCGTGGGTGCTCCTCATCCCCCCTYAGCAGAGCCTGTTGAGAGCTCCGGCTCTGGTGGTTTTTTGCAAGGAGGGGAAGCAGCCGCGCAAGCGCTGCAGCCCGTGACCTAAAGTTTCAAGGCAGCTTTCCCACGGTGGCCGACGGGTTGTTGCCTGTTCACCTGCTGCTGCAGGGGTCGGAAACATCTCCCTCTAAAATTCTGTGATGGGAGCAGAGGTCAGTGTCACGGACRTGCCCACCATGGGAAGCAAGCGGCAGTGTTTTCCTGAGCAAGGCACCTACCCCAGCTGCGGGCAGTCCTGCCCATGCACGTCCTCTCCTCTGGGTTCCACAGGAAGAGTTTCAGCTCCGCCATCAGCTCCCTCCACGTCCTGCTGCCCATGGCCGCCGCTGCCGGGGTTTGTTCCCGCACGCYGCCGGGATCCGCAGCTTTCTCCTCATGCTTGTTTTCCTGGAACAGCAAGAGAGCACAACCCCCATGAGCACGCTGAGCGTCCCATTGGACAAAAATAAATCCAAAAGCGCTCAATAGTTGGAGATGTTTCAAAATTCAATTTTCTCATCGTTGCTCCCAAGCTAGAGAGAAGCAGTTTGGGGATGGGCTGACTTGTGCTCGCTCAGATCCCACCGGCCGTGTCCCTGTGGGGCAGCCCCCCCTGCAGCCCCCAGGCTCTGCTGTCGGGGCCAAACTCTCCATTTCTAACCCACGTGGCCGGGGCCACAGGGAACCTGCAGGCCGGGGGTGTCGCTGGTGTCGCCCCCCTCCTGCAGTGTCCCTTAGCCGGAGTGCCCTGTTTTCTGTGCTGCATCAGATGATGCCAGGTGGCTTTCCTTGAGAAACCRTCCAGGATATTTTTCTTGGCATGAGAGCAAATGTTTAGACTTTGGAGAAATGCCTGGGTGTTGTTATTTTCTAATTGCACCAAGTTGCAGGCTGATACCAGGCAGCGAGGCAGGCTGCTGCTGGCCTCGGCTCCAACGGTGAAAATGGGCTTGAACGGAGGCCACGGACACAAAATCCCCAGGACCTGAGCCCTGGCCAAGAGTCACTTGAGATGAGGCATGGCAGTTGTCCCTGGAAAAGCCCTGGAGCCTGGGAACGCTCCATGGGCCTCGCAGTGGCCAGGACGCGGGCTGGGGCGGGCAGAGCTCTGCGGGCGCTCGGCACTGCCCCCCTGTCCCGGCAGTCCCGGCCACAGACCGGAGCGGAGCTGGGCCCCATTCCCGGCACAGACTGCAGGAGAACTGAGTTACCCTGAGGGCTGAGAAGCTGCAGAGCCGGGACGCCTGCACAGACAGCAGCAGGAGGTGAATGTCGAGGGAGCTGGAACCAGAAGCACGACTGCCTAGAGCTCTCCCAAAACGGGCCAGATTCCTTCCACTCGGGATCTTTTTCCTTTCTTTCTCTAACCCTAATCCCCCAAGCAAACTGAGGTTTGGTGTGTGGGGGGACTGGCTCCATTCCYGGCTGCCCAGGCGCAGATCCCAAGCTCTGCGGTGCGGCAGAGGGCTGCAGGGGCCGGCACAGCCGGGGATAAGGCTCTGGAGCTGGATCGGCGTCCTGAGCCTCTTGTCCCAAAGCCAAGTCCCCGGGAGAGGCGCCCGGCGGCGGCTTGTGCGGAGCCCTGGGCAGCAGCCRCCTGCAGGCACCTGGGGGTGCTGGTGGTGGCAAATGACTGGTTATCCCCTGCAGCCCCCCACTGCCCTGGGCACACCAAGAAGCAGCCACAGCATCGCAGAAAGCCTGGTTTAAACATACCCGTGAACCAAGAGGGGGTTACACCCCGCTCAGATGCACAAACACCACCTAACAGGGAGAAACAGGCTACGGCTCCCAAAGCCTGAAGCAATCTGTGTGTTCCTACTGAGCACCTTGCAGAGGTGGATCTAGAAACAGCCCCAGGCAGCTCTGCTGCTCYGCTCTCCCCATGGAGAGCAGCCAAGGGCCGGCCGAGCTCTGCAGGGAGCCACGCACCCCGCGGAGCCGCTGCCAGGAAGCACCAGAGCCTCCTATGGCAGAGCCACAGTCTGGCGACAGGGCCTCTGGAAACCAGGACCRCGGAGACGGGCGAACGGCAAGGACAGACAACAGTGTCCTTTGATTATAGGATTATACTTTGCACAAGGGAGCAAGCAGCACGTGCTGAAGTGAAGCTGCTATATTTATCAGCCAGGAAGGAGACTCCTGGCAGCGCCTCCAGGTGCCCCGYGGTGCCCAAAAGCCTTACCGGTGCCCGGGGAAGGCTCCCGCGCTGGCCCTCTGCTCTGTGGGAGGCGGCGTTCGCCTCCATGCCTGCCGTGCGATGTGGCGGGACGTCCCCGATGGCCGCGGGCTGGCGCCCCACGCCAACGCTCGCTTGCCCGCCGCGGCCGCCCCAAGAGCCGCGCTCACCCGCGGTGCTCGCCCGCCRCACCGGCTCCCCAACCCGGCCCACGTCAGCGCCGTGGAGCGCGTCAAAAAATAACCTGCTCTCACGGAGCCCGCGAGACAGACGCAACAGGACCCCGCGGCGGGCGCGTGGCCCCGGCACCTGGTGCCCTTTCCCGGGCCCTCGCCGCGTACTGTACGGATCCGCCGCGCCACGGACACCCGATAGCGCCGAGGGGGGGGTCCCCAGCTCGCTGCGGCTGGACAGCTGGGAGCAGACACAGCAAGTGGCCGGGGCTGCCGCCGGCCGCGCGCCAGGCCAGGGTGTGCTTGTCCATCACTGCGGGCCCCGGGCCAGCGCTTGCGAAACACTGTCTGCASGGAAGGGTGGCGCGAGGGGCAGGCCTGGATTTACAGCTTGGAGTGGGGATGGTGCCGGTTTCCCAAGCATGGCCGTAGCAGCCTGCAYGGAAATCCGGCCGGCTCGGCGTGCGGCGTCGGCGCCGTGCGTGGCGTGGCTCCCGCTCCCGGCGCGGGGCCGGCTGCAGGCCATGGCCGCGGTGCTGGCGGCTGCGGGCGCAGGAGGTGCCAGCGGCCKCCTGGCTTCGAGCAGAGCTTGGTAGCGGCATCGGCACCGCTGCAGCCGGGGCCAGGCAGGGAGCCAGCCGCTATGGGGGGCTGAGGGCAGTGGGGACGGGGCCGCAGTGGTGCAGCCACGAGCAAGAGCCGCCGGTTCATCTGGGGTAAACAGCRCGCCTCCTCCCAAGGCCGAGCGCTCGTCGGCGGTAATTGAGCCGGGCGCTCGCGAGCCGCCTTGCGCAACGCTCTCCAGCTTTCTCCTCTTTTCCCAGGGGATGACAGGAATTAGGCTCTTACCCCACCAAGCAAACCAAGGTGTGGTTTTTATTGAAGCCAAGGTGGGATTTGCTCCTCTCGCCCCCATGAGACTCGCTTTGGTTTGAAGCAACACGGCTCCCACTGAGCCCAGGGGACAACCCTGGCCCACCCGCAGCTCCCATGCCTGCAGGAAGATTCTTTTTGCCCCATTTTGCAGAGGCCACTTGGGCAGCAGGGGCTCCCGCAGCAAAGTGGAAGATGAAGGTGCTCGCCCAGCCGCGCCACAGCTCTGGCCATGAAGACGCCCACTCGGGACCATGTCACGGCATGAGCACCGCACCCACGGGGACACGGGTGGCACCCGCGGCTTGGGGGGCTCCCTCGGAGCCCTGGGCCGTTCCCACGCGCTGCGCGGGACGGGGCGCGCGCGAGGCGCCAAGCG